AGAATTTTGTGCAGTGATTATAATTATTTTTTAATTCCATTTTTCTCCGAGACCTTTGTATAAACGAACAGTACAGACTTGGTGCTTATTTATATGATTTTACTTGATTGTAGCACAAAAAGGAGGGGGTGAAATACTAGCTGTTTACAATTAAGTGATAGCCGATACTAGGGCAAGGTCTGTTCTTTAGTTGTGTGTTTTAAAAGTCATGCAAGTTATGATAATATACTTATCGATTTTTTTATATGCATGAATAAATTTTTTTTAGAGAATCAATTGCAATGAACCATACACATTTCAGAACTGAAGTAATTATAACATTTATTCATGAGTGCGATACACAACGTCATGCATGTTTCTGACATTCAAAATCCATACATTTAAGGTTTTTTTTTCGGATTAAGCGAAGTGGAGTTTCCCTGCATCTGAATTGGGAACAATTAATGCTAATATTAATTCAAAAAAGTCCTTCACTAAACAATCTTTCTCTTTATATCTATATGATTGTATATTTTGCACACTTTTTTTTATTAAAAAGTGAAGTCAATTTCTCGTCTACGTATTTACCGGTCCCAAACAGTTTTAAGTCTATGTGCATATGGCTTCTAATATTATGCGCCACTCCTTACACATGTTATATGCGGTCAGTCAATTAAAAAACTAAATAAAATAAATCATAACTTGAATAAACTTTTTCCATTAATGCAAACTTTGTGCTTGTAGTTATTGAACATACATGTCAACCACGTGTAAAAGTTCTACTTTCGTTTTAGAATCGGGTCAATTATTAGTACATTCTGACATAGGGATATCGTTACGGCTTGCATTTTTGTAAAATTAGAATTTTGTGCAGTGATTATAATTATTTTTTAATTCCATTTTTCTCCGAGACCTTTGTATAAACGAACAGTACAGACTTGGTGCTTATTTATATGATTTTACTTGATTGTAGCACAAAAAGGAGGGGGTGAAATACTAGCTGTTTACAATTAAGTGATAGCCGATACTAGGGCAAGGTCTGTTCTTTAGTTGTGTGTTTTAAAAGTCATGCAAGTTATGATAATATACTTATCGATTTTTTTATATGCATGAATAAATTTTTTTTAGAGAATCAATTGCAATGAACCATACACATTTCAGAACTGAAGTAATTATAACATTTATTCATGAGTGCGATACACAACGTCATGCATGTTTCTGACATTCAAAATCCATACATTTAAGGTTTTTTTTTCGGATTAAGCGAAGTGGAGTTTCCCTGCATCTGAATTGGGAACAATTAATGCTAATATTAATTCAAAAAAGTCCTTCACTAAACAATCTTTCTCTTTATATCTATATGATTGTATATTTTGCACTTTTTTTTTTATTAAAAAGTGAAGTCAATTTTTCGTCTACGTATTTACCGGTCCCAAACAATCGTTAGCAGAGATTCAGAATTGAAAATACATGTGACTACCTCCCCCGGAATATTCTTTTATCTGATAAACAAAATATACTCCCCGGCCTAAATTCCCTTACTTCGCATTTATAGCAACCTACGAATTTTTATACCCCCCGCTTGAAAAGCGGGAGGGTATATAGTAATCGTTAATTCCGTCCGTCCGTCTGTCTGTCCGTCCGTCCGTCTGTACGTCCGTCCGTCCGTCTGTTACGCTTTAGGGTACCCATCTCTTATCCGCAACTCCTCTTATACATGTACCACTGAGTGAAATTTAATGAAACTTTCACAGAATCTTTATTACATATTGCCATTGTGCACCTCCTATTTTACTTTTTGATCTGACACATATTTTGGGTTTGCCGGCCTTGACAAAACATGGACTTTGTCATCGGTTATAACCATATGGGAGGCGGGGGGTATCATTTAGTGAGCTCATTGCTCACAGTACCTCTAGTTTTTAATTTAGTTTCTTATTCACGCATGCCTTTTAGACCAGTCCTACTGTTATGTATAAAATCACATACATTTTATATGTTTTTGTGGTCTATGTATACTAAAGTAAAATGGTAAAAAGATTCAAATTTAAATGATTGATTGATTGAAGAAATATGCGTAAGTCTGAAATTAGTCTGTACAACGTACATGATGTACATGTATATATCTTCTTTTTTTTCATTATAGTACCAAAGTGTTCTATTCTAAATATTTTTCTATCAATTTTATTTGTCATCAAATTCAATGTTACGGATTTTTTTTTTCGTGCGACTATAAACTTTAAGATTGTTCCGAAGTAGCGAGTACATGTACAGTGTAGGTAGTTTGTTTATTGATAACACCGGTAGCCGCAGACGAAGAACAATAGGTAATTAGTGCCCATTGTTACGCTGACCACTACAATTTGCATGGAATATACAAGTTGTACCCCGTTCTACCCCGGGGCTGAAGACATGTACACAATACAGCCAAATCACAGGTCGATCACCGATTTTTGATCAATTGAAATCAATTTAAAGGTGTTTTCCTTTCAACTTTTTACCATGCAAAATTAAAATCGATTAATTTGATCATAAACAAAAATGTACTAATAGTAAGATATTACATTAAGTCTCATTTCATTTCTTATTTCCCATTCCATAAAATCAAATAAAAAAAATCAATGAGATTTCAAAACTGATTAAATAAAAAATGATTTTATATTTAACTTTTAAGACAAACTAAATACATGTACCTTTGTACTGGGGATTCTTAACCTCTAATTTTTAATCAGCTCGCCCCATTTGCCGGTTGCACATGCATACAGTGTGTACTTGTACATATGTACATGTGGAGTAGTTTAATTCTTGGACGATCTACAAACGTCTACATAACATTAAAATAAATGAATAAATAAATAAATTATTAATTAAAATGTTACTTTTTAAAAGGGATAAAATTTCTATTTCCGAGCAAATTTTTCAAATATTTCGACAAAAAGAGACCAGAAAACTGAACATTTAACAAGATAAATATAATTGTTTTCGAGAAAAAAAGGCCTTCAAAAACAAAATGTTGTCCAAATTCGACCAGTTGACCTAGTGAAAACGGAACAAATCCAACTTTTCTAACCTGCAGGAAACTTTTTTTATCCCGATTTTTTTCCCATCCATTACGATCTTTTTTCTTATTATTGAAAAAAAAAGATAACCGATCTCCCTACATACTTTTCTTCGAGTCGGGAAAGGCGGCGATGGATCTTTTTTAAGATAGCATAATTTTCTTTTATTTACAGTTTATTTTTCAATAAGATCTTATGCAAAAGTAAAATTCCATTTTTTTCTGCCGTTAATTTTTTTTTATTAATTCTATTTCTATATATTCATTCTATTAATAATTCATTTGATTATTGTCAAAATTTTCACAAAGTTAACGTAATGTAGAAATTGAGATCAGCATACATACATACAGTCATGTAATTTTGCCATAAGAAGAACATTTAAAAAAAATATGAAAATTTTGCCATGATAATTCAAGTAAAAGAAAGTACTGTAATAATTGAAGGTTTTTATAGCCCGTTGTTTTATTTTAATCCATTCCCAGGTTAAAAACAATGACCACAGTAATTATCAGTAAATCGCAGCATCGACAGTACCTCAACAGTAATTATTAGCAATTCTCAGCAACGACAGTACCTCAACAGTAATTATCAGCAATTCTCAGCAACGACAGTACCTCAACAGTATTTATCAGTATTTATCAGACTCAACAGTAAAAGGCAACAGTAATTATCAGTATTTATCAGAAACAACAAAAAATATCAGCAACAACAGTAATAATAACAGTAAATATCAGTATTTATCAGAAACAACAGCACATTATCAGTAATTATCAAACTTTATCAGTAAAATTTGGGATTCTCAGCACTTTTTTCGTCCAGTAGTGAATGTAGAAGGAGTTCAGGGAAGATGGGGCTTTTAGCATAAAAAAACGTCATTTTCGACCCCCATTTGACCCCCCGGGGCAAAATCAAAATTCCGAAACCCAACTGCACATCTACATGACTCCACCAACCATCTCCCAAAAGATCATTAAGCTACTGTGTAAAATGTAGGAGGAGTTCAGGGAAGAAAAGTTTGACAGACGGACGGACGGACGGACATGAGTAACAACAATATACCCGAACTTTCTTTAGAAAGTGCGGGTATAATAATTTTTTTCCAACCGAGTTTTATTTTTCAAATCAATTTCTTTTGGCTTGGAGTCAGGATTTTTTTTTTAAATACATGTTTTTGAAGTTGATCTCTAAAAGAGATAGATATCTCTGTTTATGTTTAATAAAATGTAAAAGCAACAGCTATATTAGTTTGGTTTTAATTTAAATTGACCTCGAATATTGTCTAAATCCAGAAAAATGCTGAAGGTGCAAAAATAAACATGTACATATTCAAAGTCTATCACAGAAATATTAACGTCTTCTTAGTTTTATACTTAAAAAATGTTTATTTTTATAATAACAGTTAATAAGAATATTTGATGAGATATTGAATAAGTCATGAAGTATTTATATTTAATTTTAAGGGACTCCGACCCTCAGCCAGGAAGGACAACTCTTTGATTTATAATTTAATCAAAAAAGTCTTCAAATGAAGCTTGAAAATTTAATCTTTTCATGCAACAAATTAAAAATATGCCTCTCAATGTGCTTCAAGGTTCTTTGAACTTCTCAGAAAAGTGTAATTAAAAGTAGAAATTTTTATCCCGAAAAAGCATTTTTAGATACTAATGTTTATGAACATGAAATGAAATTAAAAGTAATTTATGGAGCTTTTGGAAATCGAGCAGAGAAATCCATAAAACTATTGAATTTGGCTCATCACTTATATTTAACTCTTTGCATGACTTTTTTCATAGATTGGTAATTAATATATTTACACTTAAAAGGTAAACTAAATGAAATCTTGTAGGTACTGTACGAGTACATTTAGATGTGCGTGTAAATGAGTCAAAACGTTCTTTTTTGGTTTAAAAATTGATGTATGGATTAGAAACTCTTCCATAATTATGTTACAAAAACAAATACCTAATCGAACGCTCTCACTTTCAGAGGACCCAACCAGATTTTTCGCCACGCATTTATAGGACCCAGCATCAAGCTCATTTATCTTCAATATGCAAAGAATTCTTTTCTCATCCTGCAGGTGTTGGTATTTATCGGGGATTTCAAGTACGGGAATGACGCTTCCGTTTTTTGACCAATGGATTGAATCTACGGGTGGAGAATTTTCAGTCGTGGTTATGTTACTTATTATCGTTACAGATCTTGCTTTCAGGTCAGTTATATGACCAATGGTGATCACTGGCTTAGCTGAAAAATCAGATTGCAAAATCATATGGTTAGTAAAACATAATGATAACCTTGAATATAAACTTAAAATGATATATCAGATTAATACATTATTGTGATTCAAGTACTTACAACCTGTTACTCGAAAACAAAAGGGTTACTCCAACCCTCCCCAACAACGTTTCTAACAGCAAGGCAATAAATACTTTCGTCTTCGAAATTGGCATCATTGATCACAAGCTTCGATGTCTGGTCTTCCAAAAAACTTCCTTTATATTTTGGAATGTGCACATCAAAATCCACAAACTGGTCATCAACAAGTTTCCCCCAATTCATTTCAAGAATGGGGAGGTCCGATTTAATTGCTGCAGAGATTTCTGATAGGTTTCCAAAACAAACACTTTCAGCTCCCGACAAAATCACACATGGAATGTCTGAGAAAATAATTTGAACACAATTAATTTAATGTCTTAATAAAGCAATTTAAATTAAACGTATTTGATAAAATAAATGCAATTCCGAGCAAACAAAATCAAGACTAGACTGATAAATTAGCACTTAGTTCATTTTTATCTTTAACAGCCTATTGTAGAAGCATGTCGGAAGTATTTTAGATATTTTTTTCAACAATAAGTGAGTTGATATACATACTCCCTAAAACTTTCAAATCAATTTGATTGGAATGAATATACTTCTGACACGATTTTGTTTGCATTATAGCTTGGTATCCTCCCTCATCTTCACGTGTGACCCTTCGAATAATAAGCTTCTTATTTGAACTGCCTTGATACTTTTCAGTTGTCCTATTGATTTCATGCACGATTGCACCTACTTTCTTCCTCCAATAAATGATATTGTTTGATTCACATTCAGAAGCAATTTCCATTTCTGCATCTGTCCCGTACCATACTTCTGTAGGACCACATATTTCTAGGACTGCTATTTTAAAAAGGACTAAATATTATTACAGCAATTTCATATATAAACGAGATTGATTTTTTTAGTTTAATATCTTCTCAGTTAAGAAGACTTATAACAGATCCAGTTCATATTGTTAGAAATAAAACTAGTCTTCTATTTGAATAAACAACTTTATTTATAAGGTTTTTTTTCAGAATAAAGATGGAGAAAGCAATTAATTTGATTTAAATCATAAATAATATAATTATGTTTCTGAAAATAATTTTTGAGTGAAAAAATTCTTATACAAATTTCTTTAATTTTCTTATTCCAAATATAAGCATTGCCATTCACTTTTTAAGACATAATCGCACTTTTTTAAGTATTTCATTGAAAAAGATTGATTTAATTGTATTTAAAACATATTAGAACTCCCTACGTATTGCAGACACATCTGTCCTATACCTTTAAATTCTTCAGATAGTTCAGTAATTTGATTTCTTATCTCCAGTAAAAACTGATAATATAATAAACAATCTCCTCCCAATTCTCTTTTCAAAATATCGTTGAGGCCATTCAGATAAGGAGTTCTACAAGAGTATTTTTTCATGTTTTTTTCCATTCTTTGACAGATGTTTTCAAGCGATGTCCATTGCGTCTTAAAATCGGAATCAGGTATGCATGGTTTTTTCAAATGTGCGAAAGAGTTGTTACGAAAAATTCTCAACCTCTCAATATCATCCCCAAGACACAGTTCATTGTTTGATGGTTCAGATCCCCATCCTTCACTTGGTTTGAATGCGGGACAGAGGTTCCGAAGAAGAGTGTAAAGCAAAGTTACGTCAAATTTTTCGTAATTTGGTACATTTGGAGGTGTTGGTATCGCTTTATCGCTTTGTTCTTTTCCAAGTTTTAAAGTAGCACACGATTGCACTGCTGCGGGTAAATTGTGTGGCTGAATCTGACTCTCTAAAAGTATTCTAAAAATACGCGGTATTTCCTCTAACGTCGCTATATTGAGGTAAATGTAGTTTTTGTCATCTGTTGTCAGAAGCGATGATGCCATTATTGGTCTATCTGATGAAATAAGACTTCACCTAAAATTTCAAATTAAAGACTGTTAAAGTGATGTTCATAATAAAAATATATTTCAAGTAAAATCAATTTATGTATTTAAATATCATGTTCACCTTCTTCGTAACCAAACAATTTGTAAAGTGCAACGATTGAGTAATTGCGGTCGAGCAATAAATAAAATATTTTTAAAAGTTCGCGCTTTTCTTAGACATCCATTGCTTATTGTGGTTTGTTATAGATCATTGGTTATATGAAAAGCTTACCAATAAGTCATTTTCAAGTTTAGAATAAAAGAGATTAAAGCAAGGTAACAAGTATATATTTAAAACAAAAATCGACACTTTGCAAATAAGGCGTGTTGAATTTGGCACCTAGTACTTAACTGATTGATTAATTAATTGATTGTATGTTGTTTTACGTCCCGTTCTAGAGAATTTTTCTCTCACAAAAGTGAGTTTAAGCTAGGTATGGGCGTTTGTAAGCGAACTAGGTAAAAAAAAATGCATTGGTTGTATATTTATGCCACTGTAAATTTCGGGGGGTTATAGATTTTGTCGTGTCCGTCCGTCTGTCTGTTTTTCTTCAAAAACTCTAACCTTGCCCATAACATTTAATTTAGTGGAGCTTTGATTTTAATTTTTCACGTGTGTATTCCTTGTTACATAAACTTTCTTTGGGTACCATCACATTTGACCTTTTGACCTTGATCTTGGAGTTTGACCCATTTTTAAATAAAAATTCCAAACTTTTACTTTGATTATATTTTTTGAACAATGCATATAAGTACCAGGACTTTTATACTTTATATATGTCTTTTTTGAGAAAAGATCTTTCATCAGATACCAACAAATTTCACTTTTTGATCATGATTTTTTTTTATATTTCCGTTCTTTATGAATAAACTTTAACCTTGGCCATAACATTTAAATGGTTTAGAGCTTTCATCCTTCACACATGTAATCCTTGTGAGAAGATCTTTCATTTGATACGTGTACCAATACCGTTGTCCTTTTGGAATTGACCTTAGTGTTTGAACAACTTTTGAAATTGGTTAATTTTGACCATAACTTTTGAAGGGTCAGGGCTGGGGCTTCTATACCATACATATGTATTCTTTGTGGCAAGACCTTTTATAGGATTTCAATTACCTTTTACCTTTTGACTTTGATCTTAGAGATTTTAAAATTTTAAAATATGAAAGTAGACAAAGGTTAAAGTTTAACCTTTGTCTACTTTCATATTTTAATTTTTTTCCCAATTAGAATACCCTAGTTGAGGTACAAATATATTAAAATTGCATTTAAGAAGAGTTTGATATTCGCTATGTTACAAAATGGGGACATCTGTGTTTCACAAACACATCTTGTTTACATACAGAGAAAGTTCCGTTTGATTTTCTTTTTCATACTTAGTGCCCACAGCATATTAAAAGTTTTTCCAGAAAAAGTATAAATTTTATTCATTCTGTCTCATCGTTCAATATATTTAAATGAAAAATGTAAGCACTATAGAATGTGTTAGATTGACATAAGAATAACGAAATTTATATTTGACCTGTAAAAGTAAGATAATATTTTGTTTTCATGTTTATATTTAAGAGCATCTTGACTGTAAAGTTCTATTTTTTTTCAGATTGACTGATTGCTTATTCATTTGAATATTTATCACCAATTTAGAGATTTTATAGAAAGAAAAAAAACAATGCAAACTTATGCAACATTTAATTAAGTTATGAATCGACTTTCTGATCATTATTTTTTATCACTTGAAAAAATTTTGTTTTCTGAATCAAATTAGAAAATTAAAAATCATTTTGGATTAGTATTATATATTTTATAAAGATATAGTGATTATTAAGGCATATTTTTCTTAGATATATAGCCAGTTTAAAACATTAGTAAACATTTTAAATACAAATAAACCTCTGACTGTTGATACATGTAACCAGTTTGCTGAATGGCCACTGAAGAGTTAATAAAAGCTGCCTTTCAGTTTTAACTGAAAGTACAACAAAATATTCATTAGCCGTGTTTTTGGGCACAATTCTTGCTTTATTTTAGATAAGTAGAGATGATCATGTACATGTACCAACCTAGTTCATTTCCCAGTCATCTTATGAAACACTGTTCTTATTACTTAATATATCATTATATCATATTACAATATAAATTAACATGTAGGTGATTAATGACATGAAATATTCAATATTACACGAACGGTCTGTCATATCTCTATGTTACGTTCCTAAAAAAATCTAGTTGTAAACTTAAGTTAACAATAGCTTACTATAGCAAACTAAACTACCACTTTGGAACTTTGATTTACTATAATGAAAACTGTGGAACTTTGATTTACTATAGTTTAAATTTTGAAACTTTGATTCACTATAGTAAAATTTTGAAACTTTGATGTACTAAAATAAAAACTTTTGTAACTTTACCATAGTAAAGACTATGGAACTTTTATTTAAGGAATGACTCTAATTCTTGGCCAAATTATCGAGTATAATATGGTTCGGGTCAGTTTACGCTTTATAATCCGCGAAGCGGATTATAAAAAAGCGTAAACTGACCCAAACCATATTATACTCGATAATTTGGCCAAGAATTAGAGTCATTCCTTATAATTTAATTTTAAAATAATTATTCAACTGGGGATGTAAACTTGTGTTATTTTTATGAGTTCAAATTTACCGCGCAATAATACAACCGTAGTAACGGAAGTGATATGAAGCGAGGGGAGGTAATAACTGATACATAGATCTAGCAGCAATGATGCTTGTTTACACGAGGTAAGATCGAGTTACTGTTTGAGGTGAAAGGTACATTCATTAATTCTGGAATTTTTTCATGAATCCCACGGACTGGAAATGAGGGGATTGATGGATACAGATGATTCAGCTGGTTGTCAAGGGGGTGTGTCCCCATACCAAACCAGATTATACAAAATGTTATGCGTTCCTTTTTGGAAATCAACCAATGAGAGGCAAGAATACAAGCAAAATTAAATTATGTACTATAGTAAACCTTAGGAACTTTGATTTCCCTTAGTGAAGCTTGGAAATCTAAT